AACCGCACGACGAAGCTGAACAAAAATGGGAAAATTAAGCAACACTGACGGACCCCATTTGTTGTCAGAAAAACACACGAGCAGTCACCGTACACTTGGACGCGGACTGTGGTGTTAGAATACAGGGTACGTATAATGTTCACGTATTTCACGAGAATATCTTTCCGCACAAGTATCTCGAACAGAATCGATCGATCGGATCGAACGCACTCTGGAAGTTGAAGAACACAGCTATTGTCAGACTGTAATACATGTGACGCCGCTCTAGCACTTGCCACAGAGTGAACGTATGGTTTATACAACCTCATCCTGGGTGGTAAACTGATTACTGTTCCTTATTCCGAGGATGCTGTTCCGCAGTGAGGAGACGAAAATTGAGACGAGTAATTCTGTCATCTGGCGTTAGGCTTATATCCATTTCGAAGAAAGTAGAAGCCACGATTAAAATTCACGCACAATAATATGCCTCGACGGGGAGTCGAACCCCGGTCCACGAATTTCCGGTCCGTTGCTCTACCACCTGAGCTACCGAGGGCTGACGAATAGGTGCGCAAATTTTAACACATGTCTTCTGCTTGGTGCGCGACGTGTTGCCAATAAGCTCACAGTACCTGTCCTGATGTTGCAGATTGGCTCACTCACCCGTCACTTCCCAATAGACCGAAGTTCCTGTCCTTCAGACGTCCAATGGGCTATGGTAGATTAATGGTGGATGTTTGTGAGTAGTGTGAAGTTCGAAGTGCGTGAATTTTAATCGTGGCTTCTACTTTCTTCGAACTTCACACTACTCACAAACATCCACCATTATATCCATTTAACAAAATCGGCGAGCCTATATTTCTTGTATATTGCCACCATAATCCATTTGCTCCAGGTATCTGGGATGAACGCTTTCTCCCAAACCTCTTCGAATACGGAGGTCAGTGCTTTGTAGAGAAACTCATCCCCATCCTTAAATAGTGTGGTTGCGAGCGAATCCGGACCAGCAGCACGAAAGTAGTTAGGGGCTGTGATCGCGTTTCGGATCTCAGCCTTTGTTAGAGCATCTTAACTTACCATCCACATCTCATTCTGCGCCACGTAAGTGGGAAGGGGATCAGGAGTAAGAGGTAAACTAAACTGTTCTCGAAAGTGTTCCGCACAGCGAGCCAGTCGGCACTCCTTAGGTGAATCAGAGCACCCGCGTTGTTTATGACTATCTCGCTGGCACCTGGTTTCCTTGGACTAGTTTACGGATCAGATGGAAGAGCTTGTGATAATTGCTTATTGCTCCATCCGCCTCCGTTTCTTCGGCACTACAAGCACGCCAGATTTCATAGTCAGCACGCGCCAAATATTTCGTCTGTTTGTGTTGTACTCAGAGCCATCTGAGAGTTTCTCCGTATTTCAAATGGTTAAATGACCAGTGCCGTAGCATAGGAGGGGACGGTCCTCCTAGAGCGGCAGGTGACAGGAGATGGCGATTTTAGTACCGTCGAATGTTCGAGACCAAAGATAATGGGCAAGATATCCTGATAAGCTCTGGTTTAGATTTCGTGATGTTACTCAGTATGACAAACAAACATTTGCGCCAAGTGTAACACCTGTACAGATGTTCTTCCCAGCAGTCTCCTTATTTGTCCCATTGTGGTCACTGGCAATATGTTTACCTCAGTGTCCCAAACGATTGTGCAGCTCATCGTAAACGAATGTACGCTTTACCCTAAGCCGATTATGTGACCTGCACGCGCCTATGCTGCCTTCAATCAGCGCGAAAATTTAACCTCCACCGCTGGCAGCAATATTAGTTGCTAAGTTACTGTCAGTGACCTCTCGGATCTTCAGTGACTATTGTTGATTGATATTATCACAAGCAGAGACTCCCGCTTCGTGCTTGTCTCGTGAGATCACATTCCTGAGGCTCAGCATCAGTAGAACGAGAAAGCGAAAGTTCGATCCGCGGTGCATCCTGATCGGTTTGCCTGACCAAAAGCTCAGGTGCCAGTCGAGTGAGGCGCTTGATATGCCACCCGGAAAATTCTCTGAAAAACGACAACATGCAAAAGCATGGTCAAAGCTGACGAAAATATTCCACTGAGATCAACAATCCAAAATGGAAACAAGCCAATTGTAACCTATGGCAATGTTGGATGTATGGCTACCAGGCTTCAGAGAGACCGCAATCGGTGCTTCGGCGCCCACTCTGTCTAAAAGTGGTGCTGAAAACAGCCGGTGCTCCGCGCGCAGCTGTAACAGACGTCTGCCGTTGCCGTCCGGTGGAAAAGAAGCCCATATTTACTACCTAACAGAACTGACAAACTAAAAAGACTTCCTTTCGTATTCATATCTCATCCAACGACATGGATAGTTGAACTTGTAACACTGCTAGTCAACGTATTCATTCCATGGTAGAAGGTGTCCTTTGCCGCATCAAGAGTGCAGTCTTGGAGGACATAAACGTAGACCACAAACAAACAGTGTCTAATTTTGATTCGATACTTAATGCGCCAAACGGTATGCTCACGGGGATGCAATCAACGAGCGGCGACGTGCTGTAAATGAGACCCACCCCAGCTCGATCAGTGCTCGTTGCATCAGCTTTTCCGAATGCGTGCAAACAATAGCGAGTGGATAAGCCAGGTGCAGTCATTCCAACTACCCCATGAAGGCCATTGGTCCCAGTCTCGAAGGTCAGGCTAGGCGGGATAGAAAGTGAGAAAGAAACACGAGCAAAGACACCGAGTTTGGCCAGGGCATGTTTAGATTTGCATATAGACAAACTTCTACATGACCAATAGCCAAAGTCGGTGGCGCTTCTCTTGTTTCTTTGTCCCTCTCCATCCCGCCCCAGCGAGTTAATCAAAGCTCAATAAGAATTTATTAACATAATTAGTTCATAATATATTTAAGTCTTTACGACCACCTTGTTCCTTTGTTTTGCGACACAAAGACAAAATCCCCACTGCTTACTAATGTGTGTAGTTATACTGATGACGACGTTGTGGCAAGGCGCCCCATTTATTTCATAAATTAGTCACGATTTAATCTCACGTGATCATACCCTTATTTACTCTGCTACTGGTCACATCTGTTTGCCGGATTATCACACACGAAACACCGGCGTCTTCTGATAACTTCCTTGCATTGACACTCTTATTTCTACAACGTAATCTATGCACAGTCGCTTGGAATGCTGTCCAGCTTCGTTCACGATTTACATCTCGTTGTTAAAGACCGCTTCCCAATACACTTCTTCGCACCCCAACGTTAACCATCTTCAACATATTTTGTACCTTTGTCCATTGTCTTCCACGTTGTTGCATAAACGATGAAGCCTTGAATTATGTCCATGGGAAATAATTCCACTGGGCTTCGCACACGATATTGATACATGAAGAAAGCGCACTCTGGTTGCGACAAATCATGAGCAGTTTCCTAATCACCTGAATCGCGCATTCGATTCTACAGAAACAGTTAATCCAGTGATTGTAAAAGAGGAAGAGCTTTGGGTTATCTTGTACAATCAGCTTTAAATATGTTTAAGAGACGAGGACGTGAATAAATACTCGAATTCATAATTATCGCTGTTTATTTGAGCACAATATTTTCGATAATACACGCATTCCTCCTTAAAACGACATCAGAATGACTGGTAGAATTAGTTGAAGCCGCCGCGGAAGCAAACGAATAAACAATATTAATCTATTGCAGATTTAGTGCTGCGGTGTCTTCTAAATCGGCAGTTGAGTTTTTCATTGAAATTGGAACTGAACTGCAAGATTACACAGAACGGTTCGACTTCAAATCGGGCCCATCGGGACCACTTGAATATTGTGACGTCAACATGTTCCGTGCTTAGCTGCACCATCAGCTATGTCCATGGTTAGTACCTTTAGCTAGGATTGATGTGGAGCAAGGAACAAACCCGCAAATCATTGTGCTTTTTATTGATGTTCGTAACCAGAAACAACAAATACAGCTGAGGTACTGTATCGAGCAAAGTAAGGATGATTTAAGAGGGGATAAGCCAATAAACTTTAGACTAATGGACTATTGCAGTGGCATTAAATCGGTCGTTGCATCTTCACTAGAACATCTCTGTTACTTTTCTGCTGCAGATTCGTCAGTTTCTCTTGAGCATATAGACATTTTCTTTCGTTAGACTAGACATCAGGTCACTAACTCTGTCCTTAGCCGATTTCTGAAAATCTACGTTGAGATACTGCACGTTGCATGCAAAGATAGCAGAAAGCATTTCGCTACTTAAGATACCTTCGTCTGGTTTGATAGACGGGTCCTCGATGGTGTAGGGTCAACAGGATTCAGATTCGCGATCGTTTGTTTGATTGACATAAGCATTCTTAATACCATTTTCCCCGGTTGTATAATTTATATTTTTAAGAATGTTGCCTTCAAACATCCGTAGTGGATCTTGTAACATGCTGAAAATGAACCCTCCCGTTATATTGATCTTATCTTGACTTGTCTGACGAAGCAGATATAGCAAGAACTAATCGGCGATTACTGCGAACAAAACCACATCATATAGTTGACATCTAGGCCAGTACGTGATTGCTTCCTGCTAATATATTAATCGCAGGATGGTAGTTTCTTCATAGCGCTAGTTTTTGACACACATTTTGACCTGCATTGGGAAACTAATGGGTCTAACAGAATGATAGATGTTCGGTGCGTAACAATTGTAATTAAGAAGTTTGGAGTGCTTGCAGAATGCGGAACTCATGCGCATAACACTTATTTGATTTTCTCAAATTTGACCTTCACATATATATATATATATATATATCATTTGAGGATATTTATAGCCAGTTGTGGTCTGAGTTGTAAATGAGTAAATGGAGACATGATTTGGAACTATATCGCAGGCTAACCGTTTCACTTAATGCACCAATTGTAACGGTGCTTACGATAACAGCCGCGACGTGAATTAAGTGCTAATAAAATATAGTGTGATCGCAGTTTCTGATAAACCTTGTTTTATCGGTCATTTCGTTGCATAGATCATCCTAAAGTTCCAGCACCGAAGTCGATATCACCAGGTCATTTAATACCGCGAGTTCGTCAAAGCCTGCTACCTAATTCCGCGTATCATGCGTTGGATAGTTCAATCCCCGAGGGGGGCCGACACCTCACCTTTAGAGATTCACATCCGGTCACCACAACAAGGAAGGCCAGCCAGTTGCCGTCAGCCTCTTCTGAAACTGGAATCTCTCTGTTGGGACTGTTTACGGCCAAGATGATGTCTCGCAAACTTATGTCGACGCTTCAGCCAAACCAACAGGAGGGGCGAAGAAGTAGTTCACTCAGAAAAATATGTGAGTTGTGCTATCAGGCTTCTGCAAAAATGCCGCATTAATCTGTAGATAGTCTCGCCCCCTGAACTGTTTGCAAACTATGCTCTTGAAGCAACTGGGTTAGCGCATCTGGATTCATCTTCTTCGTTAAGAAGTGAGGTATACGAACAAACAGAGGCCTATTGATTTGAGAAACTAAGATAACCGCCACTTATGTCCTACACACGTTAGACTGTTAACATAACAAGTTCTATCAGTAGTTGATCACGGTCACATATGTGGTTAATTTGTAATAACCGGTGAAATTAAATCCATTCTATTCACTGTTTTCTATAAGCCATAAACGGCAGAACACTCTTCTGCATTGAAGCACATTCGTGAATTGGCTTAACACAGTGATCGCAAAGACAAACTGCTTGTTCATTTGTTTGACAAGCTTGAAATGTGGTTACCTGGTACGGTTTTTTGGGACCAAGCTACAGCCAAGTCTTTGCTGATGATATCACTACGATTGGTGACGAGAAGTCTGAAACCAACTTGCCAAGAAGTCAAGCACAAACACAACTGAATCGTCAACCGGAACTGCTGGTACCCCAAAAGATAAACTTAGATTGGTCCTTAGTGACGTAACCTAAGTTGACTAACCTACTTACGTTACACACACGCAATACATGCTGCACATTTATTACCAAAATGGTACGGCTGGTTTTCGACTGCAGTTTACTGACAGGGATGCTAGGATTCTACCAACCAATTTTTGATCTTAAGTTGATGAATTGTTGCCTTGAAGTAACCGGATTTTACTCTTCCTTAGCTTCATTCAGCTCGGCTTCACTCACCATGCGCATCAAACCGCCAACCTACCAGCTGGGGCCCACCCAGTTGTTTTCCACAGAGATGATTAGGCCAAAGTTGGACAGCATGGTAGCCTCCAGGGTGCAAAACTACCCAACTGATTACGACCAGTTCAGGGCGGCAAATCTTTGTAAAAGTCTGGCCAACGAGATCAAATTCGTTCTACGGTCAACTGGATCTGACAGGTATTTCTGTGCTTGGTTAATGGCGATACATTTGTCAAAGACGCATTGTGTAATCCGATGTAATCCTGTTGAAAACGGACTTCATACCTACATAAAGGTGAAAATGCTAGTAACCAGTTTAATGTACTCATGATTACGGGCTTTTTTCTATATTTGCTCCACAATGGTTTTTAAGTCAGTTGATTTTCCACACGCCCGGGAAGGTATTAGACGGTTGTTGCTTCCTGATAGGACTCTTCAGCCGTGCGCATTCCTTGTTCGATCAGTTTAATTCGCTAGTTATGGTCACCTGCCGCCGTCACCCGCAGCCTAGTGGCATAACTTACGGGCTACGACTGCAAGCAGCTAGAAAACATGTGTCCGGTTCCTGACGAAGCCTAGAGAATGTGCACCACTAACGTTTCATGGTTTTCCTTGATTGTGTTGGACTATCTGAATTGAAATTAATCTCCATGATCTATTAGTAAAAACAAACATATCAGGCTACCGTAAATCATATGCACATCCCGTCTCCGAAGAAAATATCGTGGCTCCGGAACAAAATTATAAGGATCCTCCTGACAAAACTGATAGGAGAAACCATCAAATGAACGCATGTATTATCTACAAGTGGCTTGCATCGCTTTTACGCACATCCAATTAATGAAGTCTTACATCCACCCTTATCGAATATCGTCGATAAAGTTTTGAAAACCCTTCACACCAATGCCAGAGTGCATTAGCACACCTTATGGCGTTCCTTAGGCTCAGGAGCAACTAGAGATCACCTTTGGCGCGCTACTCTTGTAACGCAATGAACAACACTCATTCTTCAGCCCTCTGGTGACATGAAAGCCTTCAGTACTTGGATACACTGAGTGAGAAAACCAGATGAAGCAGAACAGAAGCGATGATTCCGGAGTATTTCGACAAGTAAACACACGTAATGGGCATTCGTACGGTCATAGAATCCAGTTGCGCACTTGAAGCAAGTAACTTGAATGCAGTGACTAAGAGTTATCTAGTTGCTTTGGTCTAGTAAGACCTTCGACAGGTTTTACCGTACATCATGAACAATAAGCACCAAAATACATGTTGCCAGGATTTATTACCTGCGGAAGTGTGCGAGTAATTTCGCGATCTAGGAGAGCAGACAAGTGTATAAAATTAATTTCGTGCACCGTACTGATGCTTAGGATATAAGAGCTAATCAATTTCGACAGCGGTTCTGTGAGTCGACAGTTTCGACCCTTGCAAACACAGTGAGTTCGGGATACATAACCATTGCTCGAGTAAGCGAAACATTTTCCCCAGACTAATAGCAAAAACCTTTATTAACGAAACGGCTAATCAACCTGTTTCCCTGCTATCGTAGAAGAGTAGTACTGTTTTTCTACACACTTGCGGACACCATCACAGTAACAATGTCGTCTATTTTAAACGAATTACAAAGTTGGTTTCGTTTTCTTTTCCAGATACCGTTATGTGGTGTTTTGCATGATTCGACAACGTTCGAAACAAATGGCTGGATGTGCAAGCCGAGTCCTGTGGGATGCCAACACAGATCGATCCATTTGGGGAGAGTATATGACTCCAGCTATACATTTTCTATATGTCGTGTACGCGATATACAAAGAATGAATGTGCACTAGTCGGGATACAACGGTGGTGCCCTGGATTTTCGGGACAAGTCGTTATGGAGTTAACAGTACTCAAAATTTGCACAAATTGACCCCTGCGGGACGCGATGTGTCCTTGGTTTAGAAGTGATCTATCTTAACAAAATGGGAGAGTGATAAATAAATAGCTCTGCCATTAAGTTTAATTTCAATGTCATACAAGCATGTTTCCAGTGCTGAAAGCGCTACTTGACTGAGTCCGATAGCTAGTTTCACCTTGAGATGTTAGTTTAAAAACGCAACGCTTCACCTCGATGAAGAAAAGCAGGAAGGACAATCACGTCTTGGTCATTGGACAAAACATAGGAGTAAGCGAAAACAAAATAAACAATTTACGGGGTTACTTGTGCCTCCGTTCTACAGGGCTGCGAACCAGGTGAGAATTATTAAAATCATTCATCCTGGCTTGATCGCGTCGGAGTTACCACACGCCTGTTTCAACCTCCGTACCATCAACTTCACAGTGTTCTATTGGGATAAATGTTTGATTCAGCCAGTTCTGTTGTATCAATGCTGAACCAGTAAAGCAGATGCACCCGAGAGAAGCACGAGACACTAGCGACTATACGGCTGGTAGTATGCGTGAGCGTCCTATTGCTAAAGCCGCCCTTATGTGGAACTAAATTCTTGAATGCCCCTTTTTGACTCTTCATTTACTATATTACTGAGGCTGTGAGTTAATGAAAAAAGTATGCAACAGTAGACTATACAAGTCCACATATTAGAAATAGCAGCAACTCACACAAGTACATATTACAAAGCCTATAATTATAAAATTGGCTTATTTGGATTCGAGCGAGTTTTGGAGAGGCCATTCTGTTAATCAGCTCATTGTTAACTGAGAGACTGCGTTTGCGCTGTTTAGTATACAATAACAGCACCTACATAATACTACTGCCACCTGGACCTCCCAGCTGTAATATAATCAACCAGCCACGATCACCGGATCGTTTGCGCTTCAAGCTATGCACTAGTGACATCACTGCTGGTAAGCATAACTGTAAAATACACCGATAACGCTTCTGCAGCTACAAAGACACCCAATAGATATCTTTCACAAAAACTTGTACATCTAGCTTAGTGAAGTTATCGCCATCATATGATGCAACTATTTAGGAATTTCATACCAAGTGCCGGTGTATACGCTCATTGTCTGCATTTGCACATTCTTCCATGATTCCTGAGATCGTGGACAGATCCAGGGAGACATGCAGTTCCTGGTTGTTACTAGTTGCTAGATCAGCAGATGGGAGGGGTATCATCTGGGCGTGAACTTCCACTTCGGAGATGCTATTATTTTCCAAGGACGGCGGCTTTATGGGTTGTGCCTCTACGAATATAGTGTTCTGGTAGCTGACGGTCTGTCCATTTGCGATGTCGGAGTGCACTAACGTCGATGATCCCCGTGGGCGAGGCTGAATTGAAAATCGCCATCTTGGTAAAGCTGCAAGTCGCTCAGCCTCTTCCCGTTCGTGTTGCCGACGCAAGCGTAGATGGCGTTGATAGTTACTCACATGATGACGTGTGGCTAAAATCACCCAGGAGAAGAGGAGAAGCATCATCAGGACAGCCAGACACCACAGTCCAACAACCTGCCATCCAATCGGATCCTCGGAGTCCGAGCCAATAGCTCCAATGACACAAAAGTATACACCGATGTAGGTGCTTGGGGTGAGAAACGCTAAACAAATAAGATCCGTCAATAAGTGCCTGCGTGTTGTGGGGGAATTTAACCATTCCCGAAAAGGACCAAGATGAGCGCTTGTTCCAATGTACGAGTGCAATGAATTTGATTTGCGCCTCGATGGTGTCATGATGTAGGCGTAACCACAGAGTTCGCAATTTGGTTTACCAGATTCATACAGCCACCGCTGTAGGCAAGTCCTGTGTACTAGACCGACGGTGCCTTTGCAACGGCAAGGGGAGAACAAAGCTCCTACCCCGTCTCCTCCTTCCAAGCAGATGCGACATCTAAATTGGTTGATACTGAGTTCGTTGAATTTGGAAATATTGGTTCCGCTTTGAGGCGATTTGCAACTGGATTGGACGACCTCACAATCAAGGGGGCGGAAATTAGAACCCGCATTAGCATCATACATCAGGTGGTCAGCAGTACCAGATGATTTACGAATTTCTGTTTTGCAAATGGCTGATATGTTGCAACGAGGGCCCGTGGAATCGAGTCTGTTTGCATCATCCGTACTGTCTGTAATAGACAAATTCAGAGCCAATCTGGGTGCTCCAATCAATGCAGTATTCAACAGCTCACTGGGATCAGAATCTGTTTGAGTGTGTCGGGCAAATGGAGTGGAAGTTTTAAGCATGTTATCGTCTGTGACTGCATCTTCACTGATTGCGGATAGTGATGGAAGAGTAACTGAGCTTCGTTGCTCCCGTGTTGTAGCTGCTTTCGAAAACTCTCCTGCCTTGGAGATGCGTTTTGTACTTGCAAATAAAACTGTATCTTCGTTTACTTGTAGAATAGGTCGGGGAGCGTCTGGTGGACAGCTAATGGAAGCGCATCTGCGCCCAGAATCAGGGCTCCTTGGTCTCAAAGAGTCACGAGGTCGGAGACGTCTTCTAGCACGCCTGAATGTACGAAACTGAAAGGTGCCACTCGCCTGTCTACATACTTCAGTCCGTGGGTAGGCACTTTTATAAGGGCTTTCATTGCTTTCCAGCGCAGCTGTTTCCATTCGATAATGAAATACCGTCGGCCAATCAGATAAACTTCGTTATGTTGTGCGGAAGTTTGGGAAACGCTGAGATTTGGAACGAGGATGTTCTGTTGATGGCGCTTGCGTGAGCAAATATCTGATTGATTTGGCATACTAGCGACATGAGAACAGCTCACTATAACAATTAGAGATATGCTGCGCAGGCATATGTCGCTGACTAACAGTACAGATCCATCGATTAGCCCGAGAGTGCATTAGAGGGATAACATTTACCGGACATTCGATTTGGGTCTGGCGTCACGTGGCCATTCACGCGTGAAACGTGGACTCGAGGCTAAAACGTAATATCTCTCTGCTGATGCATGTTGGAATAAAAATGATGGATTATCAGCGTTTGCATCATCCATTGGAATGGCAATCGACCAAAGAAATGAGAGCTTTAAGGAAGCCAACCTGTAGCATCTAGACAGCCATAGGTGCCGACAAAGGTAGAATAGGTTTAGATAGCGCTTCTCAAAAAACAAATTTCTTGCAAGGAAACGAACAGCCTTTCTTATATAATTTTGGCATGCTTTATCTAAAAGTGGCATTTGTTTTCCTCTTTAAACTACAGATCTGTTGAAAATTGATTATATACTTCATTTTTCACTCCTTTTAGCTAGTTTTCGATAAATTGCAATGCGCAGCAGCATGCAGCTGCAAAGGAACTAACGTTAGTTTTTGTCTGATTTGAACCTGCGTAATTCAGAGCTTATGTTTGTCTTCCTATTTAAAGCACAGAATTTTCGAAAAGCGGCTATACAGATTTTGGAAAAAGAAATTTTACAGTCACTTTTATTTAAATCTATTCATTGATCAAAATATACCCTCTAAAATTTTGCTCAGGCATTACAGAAGTACAAAGCTGATGCGTTAATAGCATGGATTAGACAAGCGCTTGCGTTTGTGGCTCTTGCGTCGACATATTTTCTTAGGAAAATTATGTTTGACGCTCCAGTAATCGTGGGTCATCATGCATTTGTCTAGTCTTCTATGATAACATGATTCTATCGTCATCAAATCATGATGAAAACATACCACTTTTGCGTCACTGACTGCCCCAAGATTTACAGAGAAATGATCAAGATGACTGTTCAAGAAATGCGACTTGATGTTCATACTGCATCCAAGATCGCGAACTGCCGACAAGCGTTCGTTAACCACTTCCACATAATTACGCAACTTCCCCTTTCCCAAGAAAGTTTGGTATAACTCTCACCTCCTTTGCATTCATGTTTGAGACGAATTCCTCACCCCGTATCAGAACGCGAATTTGAATGCCGTCAAAATCATCAGCCTTAATCTTCGACAGACAAAGACCTAAACGCTGAAACTACTTACTGAAATCATTCGGCATAAATATTCAAAGCTTTCATAAACTTCTTCATAAAGTCAGATTCCAAATGTACTGGAAGAAATATGAGCAGCTCTCTGTTGACATTTGGATGGTGCACAATGTTTGAGATGCCAGCTACCAAATTTTATGCTTTGCTCACTCCTATGTCCGCTGTCTATCCTAAACTCGACTGTCCCACATGCCCAGATAGCAGTGGAACATTATGTAACATGTCTGCTGACCAAGAAGAAAGCTCGTGATCTTCAAACCAACAAATAACGCAGTTTTGTGCATATTATTTGATGGGATCAATAGCTTTTTTGCGTCACCGTGTGATTCTCCCAAACGCACTGAGTAATCCACTAGGAAAGCTCCGTTTACATTGCCATTATGAAATAGAACACACTTGGAACTACGCTTTGAACTATGCATAAATAATATTTAATCTAGTGAATCATACGATGTGGTCCTGATTTCAATAACATACCTGAAATATTAAGGCAAAATGAACCTGCATGTCTTGTGGACTTGAGAGCAGGAAACCCTACTCAGGTTTTCGGAAGAATGAAACTTTTACCCTGCAGTTAAGCTAACTTTTGCACATCACGAAAGTATAACAGACTTTTTTTAGAGAACCCCAGATCTCGCAATGTTTTCTGCAATTCTCGCAAAATTAATTCCTCGAATCCAGATGACGGTTCAATATCTGTTGTCGCAACGAGACTGGACCTTAACGTGGTGCGTCGGTTTGCGTACCTCATTGACCCATTGAGCTATACTGGGTGATGCCTCCGAGCATCTTGAGAGCTATTCCCACCAGGTTGATCAATGGTGAGAGGTCAGACAAACTCAGTCTCCTGGTCCTCCAGGTTGGGGGTTTGAAATGGGTTGGCGTCCATTTCTGTAAAATTAAATCACTGCCACCCCGTTGCCTTGCGGACAGGCTTTTGAGCCAAAGGCTTTGGATGAGGACCCTAATCGTCCTCCTGTCTAGGTCTGGGCGCCCTGACAGTACCCCAGCCCACATACAACCATGACATTTTCTTCAAACATAAACTTCATCCTGCATCGGCCGTCGCGCAGATTATCAAGGGTCGCCTTATCTGCTGCATACAGCAGGGCGGATAAGCGAAAACATGCTACTGCTGACGCCTCCCTTCTTTCTTTTCCACCTTTTTCTCTTACTCCCATCCCGGCCCCCATTACTAACCTTCCTTCTATAATTCCCAGCTTAATTGACAGCAATCGAAGTGCTACTGGAGTAGTACCATCTGCAGCCACCATCCCACAGCACCCATCGGACGCCTATCGGCAAAAGTCCCTTATAAGGCCACGCTGTCCCGTTTCCATGGCGACATTCAACGTCCGCACTCTAAGACAAACAGGTCAGCAGGCTGCACTCGCACGCACCTTGGACACACCGGGTATTGATGTGTGTTGTGTGTCCGAAACTAGGATTAATGACCCTAACGGGGTTATTGAATTGACTGCACCCGGCTTATCCTCTCGCTATTGGTTGCACGCATCCGGAGACGCCGATGCGGCACTCACGGGTCAAGCTGGTGTAGGTATCATTCTCAGCTCCAAGGATGAGTCATGGTTGATTGATTGGATTCCGGTGAACAGTCGTTTATGTGCAGCCCGTTTGACGACACCAGATAAGGTGAATTCGCGAAGTAGTACAAAACGCTGTTTGTTTGTGATTTCCGTTTATGCTCCCACCGACTGCAGTTCTAATGCAGTCAAGGACACTTTCTATCACGAAGTGAACGCGCTACTACGCAGTGCTACTAGTTCAGACATTATAGTACTTGCAGGTGATATGAACGCACAAGTAGGGCGTCTGATCTCTTCAGAAGCTCAGCTGGGTGGTAAGTATGGACTTAACGCCGAACGGACTGACAACGGTGAGCGTCTGCTGCAACTGTGTGCGGAGCACCAGTTGTTTCTTAGTAGCACTGCTGTTAGACACAGTGGGCACCGAAGTGCCACTTGGCGTCCACCTGTAGCTGGCCAGCGATGGACCCAAATTGACCACATAGCCATAGGTTACATGTGGCGCGGTTCCATTCTGGATTGCCGCTCGAACTGGAGTACCTGTGTCGACTCTGATCATGCCTTGGTGCGCCGTCGTTTCTCCATGAACTTTACCGGAAGGCGCACAAAGCGTTTTCTCCGATTGGCAAAGAAGAAAATGTCCCAGCCCTCGGTCAGGCAAGCCTATCAAGAAGCACCGCATAGCGAACTCTCGCTGTCTTGTCCTAATGACACCGAACTTCAGTGGAATAGGATCTCGGCCGCTATGCGCGACGCAGGAGCATCTGTTTGTGGCACTATCAATCGTCACCGCACCAGTCACTGGATATCCGAAAGGTCGGTGAACCTGTTGGAAGCTAGAAGACACCTCCCGGCTGGTTCTGAACACAATGCGACCGGACGGGCTATTAGGCGCGAACTAAAGCGGAGCCTACGTGCTGACAAGGAAGCCTGGTGGACCAGTCGGGCTCAAGAAATGGAGGAGGCAGGAGCAGTAGGCAATTACCGCAAGCTCTTCCAGCTAATCCGCACTACTGGTCCCAGGAAACCAGGCGTCAGTGAGACAATCAAAGACAGCGCGGGTGCGCTGATACACAATAAGGAGCGCCGTATGGCTCGTTGGGCGGGACACTTTGAACAGCAGTTCAGCTGGCACCCTGCTCCCGGACCTCTCCCTACTCAGGTGATGCAGGACGTGCCATGGACGGTTAGTTTAGAGCCTCCGTCGGAGGCCGAGGTCCGAAGCGCGATCACAGCCCTCAATCGTTTTCGTGCGGCTGGCCCGGATTCCCTCCCACCTGCACTATTTGAGGATGGAGGTGAGGTCCTTTGCAGGGCACTGACCTCCCTATTCGAACGTATCTGGAATGAAGAGAGTGTGCCGGCTAATTGGAGCGAATCGATTATAGTGGCAATATACAAGAAGGGCAGTCGAACAGACTGTGCGAACCACAGGGGTATTAGCCTAACGCCAGTTGTGACAAAATTACTGGCCTCGATTATCGTTCGTCGCCTCACTGCTGAACGGGAATCTCGGATTAAGGAAGAGCAGGCCGGTTTTCGCCCAGGACGTGGATGTATAGACCATATATTTACTTTGCGGCAGGTGCTAGAGCAGCGTCTCGCATACCGCAGACCGAGAATAGCTGTGTTCCTCGATTTCAAGAGTGCGTTCGATTCAGTCGATCGATCGATTCTGTTCGAATTACTTACGCGGAAATTTGTTCCCACGAAATATGTGAACATCCTTCGTGCTCTATACTCGAACACTACAGGCCGCGTCAGGGTCTACGGTGTCCTATCAGATAGCTTTTCGACTACAAGTGGCGTTCGTCAGGGTTGTCCGATTTCTCCGTTTTTGTTCACTTTCGTCGTGGATTCCATCATGGAGTGTTCCCTTGTGGAATCTCACGATGTAGGCGTTGAAGTGCTGCCTGGTGAAAGGTTAGTTGATCTAGATTATGCGGACGATATCGTCTTGCTTTTCGACGATGTTGGGGCGGCACAATCAACCCTGAATAGCCTGTCCAGAGTGGTCCCTTTATTTGGTATGCACTTCGCACCTTCAAAGTGCAAAGTGTTGCTGCAGGACCACCAGCCACTCGATGACCCCTTGACGCTTGCTAACGAGGAACTCGAGGTGGTTGATCAATTCACTTATCTTGGCAGCTGCATCAGCAATGATGGGCGCATAGAAACCGACGTCAGCTCACGCATTGCAAAGGCCAGAGCTGCCTTCTTGAACCTGCGTCATCTTTGGCGACAGAAGGGAGTTTCCCTCCGTCTGAAAGGCCGTGTATACAAGGCCACAGTGAGGGCCGTTCTGCTCTATGGTAGT